CGTTTTCTTTGAGTGACAATTATTTAGCGAACTGAAATTTGTATTCACCCACCATAGATTTTGTGAGTTTCCCATCTTGTAAATGCCAAAAAATAATGCAATCAAGATTTAAATGGTAATTTATAAAATTTAACAAGTTAAAGGGAAATGCAAAGCTATATTAAACAAAAAATACCGGCTGCTTAGGAAAAATTGTAGAAATGGAATTTTTCAGCTGGCCATATATTTTCTTTCCATGCATCTTCACCATGAAGTACCATGGACCTTCTCATGACAGTCTCCTTTGGAACAGAAGGAAATGTTGTTTCCATTTGGAGGGAGGATGGGGAATAATTTAAATTTTATAATTTTTTTTTTTTTGTTATTTAATTTCTAGAATGATGCATGCACAAAGCTTCAAGCAGCAACAAGATACAAATCAGAGGCCAGAATAGATGAAGCTGTGAGGTTTGTGTATTTTTTATCTCACTAATTGTTGAATCATTGTCTTGCAATTGACCATTTCACTTACATGATCTCAATTTAAATTCTCCACTTTGTCTTCTATTCATTTCTCATGATTGTAACTCAGAGAATTTGATCTTTAATCAAATAGTGTCCTTTGGTGATATTTTGTGAACTTCTCATCATCTTCCTGACTGATATTGTGTTCATTTTTTAAGGAGAAATTACTTATTGGTCATGCATGAAAGTGAGAGAGGAAATATGTTTACAATAAATTTGTTATTGGCTAATGTTGAAGAAAATCTCGTGGTCATGCAGATTTTCTTTCAGTCTGAAACAAAGAGATGTTAACCTGTACAAGCTATGATAACACCGTCAGTTATACGATAACGTCACATAATCAAAGTGATCAAAAGTAGTGGCTCAACTAATTGGAGGTTGGTATATCTGTGCAGGAGACTAGAACACCAGATGCAGGCACAGCAACTTAATTTAAGGGAGGAGAAAAGGATTGTGGCAGAGATTGACACACTCAAGCGATCAAAGAGAAGTTTAAAGTAAGTAACATGAGTAGGATAACCCCATTACACCTGAACATCAGCATGCATTTTCCCTACACTGTTCTTTATACATTTCTTAAGGTGCTGATAAGGAGAGTTTGTTTAACGATCAAGAGCTTCTTTAGTTCATGATCATTTCCTTTATTCTCATGACCTTACTGTGTGGTTTAAAGGTGATGATGTGAGGAGAAATAGGATGCCAGTCACTCTTAGGGGTTTAAGGGTGAACCCTTAAACTCTTGCATCAAATTTGTAAATCTCTTTATTGTCAACCATACAATTCTTGTAATGTTGGTTCAGAGAATTTAGAATTGAATCAACAAATTATCCCCAAATTGATATTTTTCTTTATTCTCATCACTTTTCTGCATGATATTGTATTAATATTGTAAGGAGAAATTCTTTCTTGGTCACTCATGGGAGTTAAAGGGTGAAACAAGTAGGTTGGAATCCCAAGTGGTGACTTCTGTTAAATCTTGAACTCTGTAAGAGACAGAATTTCTCCTTACAATATCAGTACAATATTTAAGCAAATGAGTGATGAGATTGAGGGAAAATATCAATCAGGGGATTATTAGTTGATCCAATACCAAGTTCTTTGAACTGACTTTATAATAATCATATCATGGTAGATGGTAATGGGAATTAGTAATGAGATTTGGGAGTGGAAGAGTTTAATTAAACCTTGTAATTAAAAGAGCTTAATTATGTTTTGCATTTAGGATGCCTTTGTGTTCTTGTTGATGTTGATGTTGATGTTATTTTTTTTTTTTTCATTTTCAATCTATTTTTGAGAAAGCAAAATCCAACTTTTGAAGAATCACTGAATGGTTACTGAGATGGAAACTGCATTCAACACAGTCAAGCAAGCAAGCACAAAAAAAATTTTATCTTTTAAGTACACTCTCAGACATTTCCATGAGGTTCATCAGATGTGTGAACAGTTTACTTTCAAAACCTTCAACAATGAATGCAAAACAAAATTGAAAATATTTCTATTTCACTACAGGGAATACTTAGACCTTAAACAACATGTGGACCAGCTGAGGAACAAACAGAAACACTTAAGGTCACAGAGAGATGTGAGTAACATACAAAGCTTGTAAGATTACATTTTGCATCAAAGACAGACCTCTTTCCTGGAAAGACAAAGTTTGCTCTAGAAACAGTAGAATTACATGTACTAGGTATTAATCTCTACTTTTTAGGAAGGATTAGGGATTAATATCCATTTCTTGACTGAGCAGAAGGGCTAGATAGTAAATATACAGTCATGATGTGTGCCTGATTGCAGTAAGGTTTGTGGATCATGACTAAGGGCCAAATATTTTCCTGTCCAGTCTGACCAAACTCAGTCAATAAGTATGTTATTATATGACCTCAAGGTTTCCAAAAAATGAAATGTTATGTTTGAAACTAAATAGGATGTGATAACTAACATGAGAAAGGTGCATGATGGACTGAGCTACAGATTCTTAAATAGTTGTTATTTAACAATCATGCAATGTTGAAAATGTGAAAAAGCTGTAGCATGCTTCTTTATTGATTCATGGTTTATTCAATTGATTTTATGATTCTGTTACAATGCCTGGGTTAACCCCCACTCACAACTCTTAGCTGTTTGGAAAGTAACAGACACAAAAATGTCCTGTTGCAAGCACATTGAACAAGGCCATATATGGGTGAAAAAAACATCTGCAGCTAGATGTTTGTTTGGTCATGTTATAGACCAAGAAAATCACTTAATATATAAGTGTCAATCAAATTAACTAATTAACACATCATACTGTTTCCAACAGCAAGTCAGAAGAAGAAAGTAATGCTTTTCCCTTTTTCATTCCAGTTTTAATTTCTCTAAGTTTAACCCTTTAATTCCCAGAAGTGATTCACATGTAACTTCTCCCTATAATATCTAAACATTATCCAGCAAACAGGTCATGAGAATATTCAAACTTATCAGGTAGAAATTGTTATCCTGATCAAACACCAAATTCTTGTAACTTATTTATGAGGAAATGTGTAGCAGCTAGAGGGGAGAATTAACAATTGGATCATGGGAGTTAAAGGGTTAAGACAGTGAAAACTGAGGTTTTTAGAAAATGCTACAGCATTGTCAGTGCAGGGCTAGACAACTCAGCTTTTTTCTACATGGAACTGCATCAACCCTTGCTGTCCTATACACAGCTTTCACTGTGGTTTCGTAAGACACTGGCAGTATTTCTTGATTTTAGGGAATAACAAAAGTTCACTGTCAAAAAATTGTCTTTAAATGTGCTTATTTACCATAAAGAAGATGAAAATTTGTGGGTAGAAAATATTTTGTAATATTGCTTGAAGTAACTCTTTTCCACTTCATCAGGCAAATAAAAGTTTATTTCTGGTATAATTAACAATTGCCAGTTCATTAGTAATTAGCAAACTATCTTTTATCCACAAAATTAATGCTTATCACTCACTTATCAGGCATGTGTGAGAAGAATAAATGGCTTGAAGGCAAGAGAAGAGAAGTTGAAGAACCAGTTAGATTCAGTTGATGTCTGTAAAGAAAATGAAGAAACAAAAATTCAGCAGCGTGCACATCTGAATACAATAGAAATTCTCAAAAAAGGTAAATAATTTTAAATCAAGGCTTTTGCCTTAGTTTATATTTCTTGTGCGAAATCTGTACAGTGAAGCTGCTTGATGAAAATTGCTGTTTCAAAAACTGGCTCTGGTTGGTCCAGAGGATGGATATTTCTATCCGACAGATAAAACACTATCTAGAGGATATGTGTTAACAAAATGTACTATAATTATTATCCATTGGATAGAGATATATTTAGTGGACAGTGATATTCACCCTTCAAATAACCAGGGCCTGATCTGCAAAGTTCCCAATGAGAAAAGTAAAAAGCATTCTCCAGTGAGGTCGGTATACATGTATACAGCACTAAATTTGCACATTGAAAACTTGCACAAAATCAATGAATACTTTGGGGTAGGTCACAGGGAACCTTACTTAACCCTTAAATGAGTGACCAAGACAGAATTTCTCCTTACAACATCAATACAAAATCAAGAGGACAAGTGATGAGAGCCAAGAAAAGTATCAATAGTCCATTTTACAGTTGTGAGCTTGGTTGCCAAGCCTTTGAACAGGAATGAGGCTAAGGGTGATCTTGTTATGATACAAACCTTGCTGCTTTTCAAATGCAAATCACTTTGTTATCATGCTAACTAGATACTGGTCTCTATCACAACAAGGTCACCTTCAGCCTCACTACAAATCAAAGGCTTGGCAACTAAGCACACAATTGTAAAATGGCCTATTATGGGTTTATTACTGTCAGTAGATGATCCAATACCAAATTCTCAGAAGTAACATCAAAATAATTGTATAGCAGGCAGTAAGGAGAATTACTAGTGAGATATTGGGAGTTAAAGGGTTAAATCAGTGTGTGAACCTGAGCCGTTGAATTTCTGATCAACAGAGACAATTGTTGGAAGAAATGGGCTAAAGGGATGGAATGTTACATTGCAAAAAATTCAAATTGGCAGTCTTAGTTATTATTTGTTCAAGAGTGAGAAGTTATTTCCAAAACTCTAGCTCATGAATTGTCAGGATTTCCAAGCACCTTGCAACAATAAAAACACTCGGTCTACAGTCTCGTACTTTTGTTTTGTTTCTTAGTGTTTGGATGCCCTGATAAAACACAAGCTAGAGTTTTGGAAATAGTATGAACAATGTTACTTGTGATGACCTCTGAAAAGATCTTTTTTATGAACAGAAAAACACTTGGTTTTTTGAAGTAGCTTGTTTTCCATGGCTGGGTCAAGTACAAAGGGTACTTGCAAAGTAGATTCTAAGTAAAATCTGTTTATTGATGTCTAGATAAATTCTCACATTTCTCTCTTTGGTTTGAAGAGCTGGATGACCTTCATAGCGAGAAAAGAGAGCGGAAAGCAAAGTTTTCTAAGGAAAAGAATGATTATTACTCAGCCATTAGAGAAATGAAGTCTCAAAAACAAAGAGAGGAAGCTACAAGGAGAAAGAATGAAAAGCAAACCATGATGAAAGCTGTGTAAGTTTTGAACCAATTGCATTGACAGTACCTGTTTACCTCTTATGGAAGTTTTAAGGTTTACAAATGAGTGAGAAACTGTTTTAAGCCTAAAATCTCAAATCTTGAATCTCCCTAAGTTGGCTTAGGGAGATTTGAAGACAGTACATAGATTAGGAGGGGGGCAGGTGGGTCAGGGGGGGTAAGTTACAGCTGTTTGCGAAAAGGTTGTGGGAAAAAAGGAGAAAGAGCACCCAACAATCTCAAAAGGTAATCTGGTTATCCTGTAATCAGTGGGTTTTAATAAGTGAAACAAACAATTATGGGCAAAGGGGCTAGTGAACTGGGGATGGATATCAACATGTTTGTGAGTGCAGGAGGAAGTCAGGACAATAGAATATTATGTTGTAAACCATTTTTTCTTCAGGGTACTTCAAATTTGCTCTTATAAAATTTGCGTCATTTTTGTCTTTCATTTGAATCAGTTCCTTATTTTTTGTTTTTCGCAAGTTTAAAAGATAAGAAATTCATCAACCCTGCTCAGCCTTGTCCTAACAGTGATATTTTCTTGAATTTCCCTGAATTCCTGAGGTCAAGGAACCATGAACTAAAAACTGCCCACAATGTCTTATGGGGTTGTCTGGTGCTCTGTGCTTATCTAACAGCCTTTCCGCAAACAGCTGTATACAGTAAAGTGAAATTTAAGCCCTTTAAAGTATTTGACAATCCCTAAACTTGATAAGCAAAAACCTAAATGTCACACCAGAGAGGTCCGCTCTTTTGATTGTGCACTGCAGGGATCAAACCCTTATGCTAAGAAATCTGAAATTTGAAGCCATGTGATTTTGTGCTCTGTACCCATCTCACCTACTTCAGTAATTTCATCCCAGTCTCTCTCAACAAATAAAAAATGCTGAATTGTTCCACATGATTTAAATTTAACAAATCACCAATAGTCCATTTTACAGTTGCATGCTCAGTTGTCAAACCTTTTAACAGGAGTGAGGCTAAGGGTGACCTTGTTATGATTCAAACCTTGCTGCTTTTCAAATGGAAATTACTTTGTTATCATGCTGAGTAGATACTGGTCTCTATCACAACACGGTCAACTTCAGCCTCACTCCAAGTCATAGGCTTGGCCACTAAAACAACTGTAAAATGGCCTATTGAAAATAGACCTTCCATGAACAGAAAACCCTTTAAATTATCAATGCACATGAATATAACTTCCCTACTGATAGATTAGACATGTAAATATGATTTAATCTCACCTGAGATGTTGCAAACATATTAGTAAATTATTTTCAATTGGTTTTTTGAAGACATTCAGATTATCTGAAAGGTTTGGCTTTTGTGACCCTGTGTAGAACTGTTTGTGCTTTTTAACAGTTTAATTGAAATAAATCTTTTAACTCCCAACTGACCAATTAGTTATTCTCCCAACTGATACATTCCCTTGTAAATTAGCCAGGAGAATTTCATTCACATCAAGATAACACCCACTAACTGACAAGCACTGTTTGAAAAATAGTGTATGGGAAATGCAATGAGAAGTTACAAGTTAATCAATTTATCAAAGGGTTAAAGCATGTGTTTACACTGCAGAGTCAGTAGCAGAGCCGCACAACAGCTCTATGAAAAGGAGAAATCACTTTGTGACACTCTCATCAGCTATATGGAGAAGTTGCACACAAGTTTGGTTCATCTTCCAGAAATTCAAGGCGCAGCTTCAATAGACAAGGAACCAGTGGTCTCTTTATCAGCAAGTACGAACATGTTTCTTAGAGAGTGCATTTTATTGTCAGTGTCTCTTGCATTTGGTATTGATAAAATTTGATCAACCAGTATGTCATTGCTAGGTGCTGATTTTTCTTCATCTGGTGAGGGAGTGTTTCTCAGGCGCAAGTCAGATGCTGATGATCTGGTTGGTGTCTTTGCTGGAGTTCACAGAATATCACGCAAAGGCAGTCGCAAAGGAAGGCGTTCATCAGCAAAAGAGGTCTGTACTTAATTATTGACAAAAACAATTGGTATTTGAAACATTCACCAGCATGGAGATGTATTTGTCAGAGTTTTGAGGTCAGAGTGATTCTAAAATACAGTATAGTTTCATTTACTCCCATGAGTGACCAAGATAGATTTTCTCCTTACCATGTCAAGACAATATCAAGCAGACAAGTGATGAGAATGTAGAAAAAGTAACATTAGGGGATCATTACGTGTAGCTGATCCAATACCAAATTCTCCAAGTTAACATCATAAGAATTGTATGGCAGACAGTACAGAGAATTACTATTGAGATCCTACATGTTGCAAATTGGTTAAGTTGTACTAATCATTTTAAAGAAGCTAGCAAACATTTGAATACCTGAGTTCCATTTAGGTTGTGTCAGAGTTACTGACAGCAACCATATCAGGAAGTAGAAGTAAACCTTAATGTAACATTGCAAAAGATATCCTTTTTATGTGACGAAAATTTTATTTCTGGCAACAGTTTTTATGACTTTAGATTGTCTAGTGGTGACTTGGAAAAAGTAAAGTGCTGAATCCTGAATTGTCAGAGTACCAGAGAATAATTCCCAGCCCAATTCATCAATAATTATGTGACTGACTAATTTAAATGTTATATTTGATGATTTCCCATTAGTAACTTTCTCTAAAAAATATTTTTTTGCTTAATGTAAACTTGTACTTTTACTCAATTTCAGGCACCTCGTAAATTGAACCTTCATCCTGAAGTTGTTGAGCATCTTTTAACACTTGGTTTATCACCTCCCAGTACTGCCACTGACATTCCAAAGGTTCTTGGAGAGCTTCACGAAAAGAAGGTATACCTCTTTACTAAGGGTGTATTATTTTAGTGTGTCTGTAAATTATCCTTGAGCTCACCTTCTGGTTAATAAATAGATTTTGTGTTAATAATAAAACATATAGCTGTTTGTCTCATGACGAAGTCAATTAAGATAAAGAAAATGACGTTTCAACTGTGTAGTGCTAGTTGTCATCATTCCATGTTGTTGTACGTCTGTTCTGTAAGAGATCACTGAAGACATCAAAATCTGGTAAGAACAAAAAAAAAGAGGCACATACATGTAAGGGGCTGCCAAGTGTGTCACTAATGTTCAGTGACAGACCCACAGCAACATGGAATCTATTTTTCTTTTTTGGTGAGGAGGCAAAAATTGTTTATGCATGGTGGTGTCATTCATACATCTGTCCTCCAATAGATCATATTAAGTTAAAAACCAATAAATTTGTATGGAGGTCAGCTGATTATGTAATTAATATTAGTCACAACTCCATCCTTTGTTACCAATCTAAGTCACTTTCAGAAGTTATCACTGGAATCAAGCTAACAGTTTCTTTAATTGGTCACTAGTTGCATTAGCTCATTGCATTGCATTGATTTTCAGGAGTTCTATAATAATCCCCCTTCCTCAAGCTCTTTGTTGGCACTTGCCAGTAACGATCCCATGTCACCAATAAGTGAAGAAGCTACACCAGAATTTCCAACTAAATTTGAGGAAAAGGATGCAAGTAAAACCACTGATACTTCAGCTCAAATTGAGAGCACAGCAGAGAAAGATGAAGAGGGAGGTGAAAATTTGCACATCATTGTTCCTCAGTCTTCTTTAACTGAAGGTCATGAAGTGTCTAGTAGAAAAAATTTGGTTAAAGTGAACACTGAATCAGCTGAGAACTTGAACAGCTTGGTACCAGGAACAGATGAAAATGTGTCAAATGTTGAGAGAGTAGAGCTTGAAAAGTCAGCTTCTAGTGAAATTTCTACAGACCCAGCAGTTGCCAGTGGGAATTCTGATATATTTGTAGACGGTGAAGAGAATCACAAGCTTACATACACTTTGAATGAACCTACTGGTGTATCAGTCGTCGTTGATAATTTGTGTGATTCAGGCGAGGTTGTTGCCAACTGTTCTGATGTGGAGAATTTCAGTCACGTAAAGGAAGAAAAACAAAGAATAGGCCAGATGCTCTCCAAGTCTGAACAAACAGACATTACTTCGCAAGATAATATTTCCACACTGCTTTCTCACAACAGCACAAGTACAGAACATCCCAATTTCACCAGCCCATCACCTCACAGTCCAAAGCTCTCCTCAGAACAAAATTGTTTGGAAAGTGCCTATGATAAGAACCCCCTAAATGATGGACACAATATAGTTAAAATACAATATGAGAAGTGCCCTGCATAGATCACTAGGTTAATCATGTCTACAAGATATCTTTTAAAAACCTCTTTTACAAATAGTAGTTATTGTTAGGAATGATTCTTTCATGAGCGTGTATGTGCTCTTGAATCAGCTTTTTGGAAAGCTCTCGTGTGGCAATTAAAATTCTAAAATGGAAAGGGACATCTCAAAGCTCAGTACTCAGATAACATAGGAAAAAGTGGCAAATTTTTATGAAAACGATCACTTTTAAATGATGTGTTAGGCAGGTTGTTCACTCTGCACTGTTACTTCTGCCAGGATGTTGGTAATAACCCCATCTTTGTGAAGGTGATTTATGGTTTTGACACTCAGAATGACAATTTTCATAATGGCCACTGTCGCATTTCTACCTGTAATCTTCTCTCTTCTCTTCAGACATATTGGACCAAGTAGTATTTTGGCCATATTTAAGAAATGTTACTAACAGACAATATCAGTGCTGAAAAATTTGCATTCATTTCAAATTTTCCATTTAAAAAAAAAAAAACCAGTCTTTTGTACATAATAAAAGGCTTGGCATTAAGCCGCATGTAATTTTTACTTGTGTGTGCATTTGCAGATCAAATGATACCATAATGAGGACCAATTTTTAATCAGAATTTTTATTAGATAAGTCAGTATTCTCCTTCTGGGCAAAGACTTTGTTATTAGTGAGGTGTGATAAGATTGGAAATTTGACACAAAGTTAATTGATTTGAACAAACTGCCGCCATTTCATGTGGGCAACTTTTTAAAAACTGGGTTTGAGATGAACCAGTTGATGCCTAAGAGTGATGAGCATCTAATTTCTCCTTACAATATCAGCCCTGAATCACACATTTAGGTCACAAGAACAAATGAAATGATCACCAATTAAAGAAGTTCCTGATTGTTAAACAAATTCTCCTTGTCAGCATTTATGGAAATGTATAGAGAACAGTATTGAGAATGTGCATACTGATGTTGGGGTGTAAAGCTATAAGAGATGAAATGGCTTAAGGAAAAACTCTTTTCCTTTGAAATATAATTTGTGGCTAGGCAGGACAAGTGTGGTGTTTGTTGTGTTGTAAATGTCTATCAAGTGGTCTCATCATAAGATATGTCAGCCGTAGGTTTCTTGTTGAACTTACCTGGCTCAGTCTGTGGTAAAAGTTTGATTTCATTGCTGAATTTCTTGTGGCTTTAATTTTTCTGTGGTTTAACCCTTCAACACCTAAGAGTGATTTACATGTTACTTCTTCTTACAGTATCACTGTTGAATAAAGTATTAAGGGCATGAGAATCAAGGAAATGATCATCTACAAGAGAAGCTCTTGATTGTTGAACACATTCTCTGTGTCATTACCATAGGAAATGTAGAGAAAACAGTATGGAAAATATGCACACTGATCTTAGGTTTAAATAGATCAGGGTATCTGACTGATTGATGTGATCTCTATATATTGCATTTTAAACATATTCTTTCTTCAACCCAGGAGAGAGGAATTTAGTACATATTTTAAAAATTCAAATGTTATGTGGGATAGTCTAAGGTGAAATAAAATATTTCACTTGATTTGTTCTCAATTTCATTTTGGTTACATGGGTCAAATTAGTGACATCCATTATAGTGAGATTGTTGTAGCCACAGTGAAACTCCTCATTAAAAAAGTACCAAAATTAAAGGAAATGAATGAATTTATGTTGTCTATACACAATGGTTGTGTAAGAACAATCTCTTGTAGATCCATGGAGATAAGAAAGGACACAAATTAACCCACCACGTTGATTTCATTGAGCTGTAACTTTTGGAGCGCCAGAGAGAGTTTAAATTAGTCGCACTTTTTTTAATGTAATTTGTGATGGGTGTCTTAATAATAGTGAATTTGTTGATTAAAAGAGAAAAGAGTGAAAAAAAAAAGTTTTTGAAGTGAAACCTTTTCATCGTCGTTGTATTTAAGGCCAAACGCATCCCATCGGGCACACGGAAGGGGGGTGCTAAACGCAATTCTTGTTGAGGTAGGAGAGGGGGAGGGGTGGGGCGCTGATTCAGCTCTATAAGAGCTCATTATCAGACCAGGCACACTGATCTAACCCTGGCTTCTGATAAATGCACTTTGTTTTCAGTCTTAGAGTAGCCCACTCGCCCACGTAATCCCAAGGAACACCGTAATGAAAGCCTATGGGTGTAGGGCCGGACAGGTTGACGTAAACCGGTCTGATAAAAGCCGTCTGGCCCTAAATTCGTTCCCTGTTGTTTATTTTTTTCCAAAAACAAGAATTCTAATGATGGATTTGAACGTAGGAGAAAACGGAAAGGAGAAAACCAGTCTCGTTTTTCGGTGAATTCTGCGTTTCGTGTTTTGACTCAAAATAAAGAGGAAATTTTTTACAGTAGAATACCTTAATAATAAGTTATTTATTTTCCAAAAAATTATAATAATAATATCAACTATGACAGCGTATCGAGTGGAATGCTGTTAGATCGGCTCATTGAGGAATGTATTTCGCACCAATCATATCACAGTATGTGGTAAGCGTATCATAAAAAATTTGGAAACGAGCTCTTGTCTTTGAAAACACAGAACTTTAGCGAATTTTACCATTCTGTCCGCGTTTCATGACGTCAAGCTAAACATTTTCCCGTTTGGCCTTCCCACTTGGCTAAAAAGTACAAATTACAATTCTCTTTCTGCCTCTAAGAGAGACTCCTTAAAAAATCATAAAGGTAAGAAAGCGTGGGTTGTAGTGTTCAATTCATTCAGCGATTTCTTCAGTTGGATGATGGCACCCCTGGAAATTCATTTCAATTCTTTTAGGAACATTCAAAGTCCGAGAATCAAGAGAGTCTTTTTGTTGGGCAACCTGTGCAGCTCTTGATTCAACAATTGAAGGGATTCCTGTGGGGGTTTGCCGTAATCCATGCGCACCAACTGCGTTGTCCGTACCAGAAGGAAATAAAACGGCACACAGTCCACCAATTCGCTTAAGCGTTCTTTTAACTCCACCGCGAAATTCCCTCTTGCGAACAGAATAAATGATTGGATTGGTCACAGAACTAATGTAGTATATACAACGCGTGGTTTGCGTAACTTCGGGTGGAAATTCTACCATAAAGTAATTACGAAGAACGAAATCGGTCCACTCAGGAAGAAAACAGATCACAAACGCTGCTATTATGATGCAGACATCGACAGCTGCCTTCCGATCTTTGATTCTTCTCGCCTCATTTTGTTGGTGCTGGCTTGGACCATTATTAGAACTTGCAGCTGTGCTTTCCAAAAGTACGACTGGTTGATCGTTAGACTGGATGGCGTTTACTGTTTTTAAAAGTCTCCAGTTCAGGAAAAAGATTATTGAAATAGGCACAACAAACACGATTAATGGAGCGGGAGCATGAAACGCGGGAGCATCTGTAGCTGCCTTGCAAAAGAACAGCTTTGGATAATAAAGTAGGGTTCCTCCATGATTGAAAAAAGTGATGGTACACACAAGAACAGGGACAGTCCATATCAGCACTATAACCACGACTTTTGATCTAGTAATGGAACTATCATACGTCAAAGGTGATTTCACAATGGCGTTATACCGTTCGTATGACACAGCCACGAGATGAAGAACCGTATTCAAGTAGAAATATCTTAAAACAAGGTAATGTAGTTTACACATTGTTTCGCCATACAACCAACGTTCTTGGGCAATACTTGCGATGCTCGGCGAGTTGCCCAGGATCAAAAAGAGAATATCTGATCCTGCTAGGCTGGCAAGTAGAACATACCGCATCGCATGAAATCTGCTCTCCATACAAATCGTTGCTATGACCAGTAAATTTCCAGGAAGGCCGACAAGG